CCAACTCAAAAACTATACCGTAAATCAAAAATAGTTAATTCAAGCCCAAAAATTTAAATTCTAAAATCATTTTTGTGTTTGTGATATTTTTGGAAAATTAAACTTTTGGTGGTAGTTTTGGAATATAAAATTTTTGATAGTATTTTTGAAAACTAAACTTCAAATTGTGGTATTTTAAGAAAATTTTTATCAATATATATATCTGTTTTAAAAATCATTAAAAATTACAAAACAACAGCTAGGAATTATTAAAATCTTGAGGTAGTTAGATTTAGAATGTTTCTTCACAAGTGGCTATTCGTCACTAATTTTTTAAATGTAATTTCAGTTTGATGAGTATTTCAAGTTCTCCAATTGATAGTTAAACAAAATGTAGATTTTATTTATATATTGTTTTGATGTTGGTTGTGTAAGTGCGAGAACTGCTGTAACAGAGAGTACTACAAGTACGTAATACAGACCAACACAAATAACACAGAGTTTTTTTTTCTCAAGAATATATTACTAGATCAATCATCAAGCGTACTTACAAGTTCCACTTAATCTCCTTAATCTAGCCTTTTCGTTCACAGATTTATACACGATGTATAGTGAACATTACAAGACAAACCCTTAGCTCCATTGTTTTGTGTTCTTTCATGAACCCCCAAAACCTTTACTAAGAATTCTCTCACATCGTGGGGGTCAAGCTCTACAAAACTCACGCCCCTCCTATTTATACACAATAGGATAACACGACAAACCCTAGCCTTGGTCGCTACTCCATGCAAGATCTTGATTTCTTCAAATCTTCGTGAGTGTATTCTCCTTCCTTATTCTTAGCACAAGATAAGGAATGTCTTCAAGCTTGGATCCTCTCCAAATATATCCTCTAGCTTAGATGCGTCATCTTGGGCTCTAAGCTAGCTTCACACATCCGGTTCAGCCCATCTCCTTGAGCCAAGACCAGCCAGTCTATTCGTACAACCTCCTGTAGTACTTCACGACTGGTACAGGTCACTGCTTCAACAGCTTCATCTTCATGTTTCACCTCATTTACCATCAGCTTCTCAACTCCTTTGTATCTGCTCATACTGAATTCGAAAGCTCATCCAACATACACTTTCAGGTTGGTCTACTTTCTTGACACACCCCAAGAAATTCGTGGAGATTGAAGATGAATTTTTTTTAATAAAGTTAATATATTTTTCTGAGTTGTGACCCAAAAAAAA